TCAAACCAGAGAAAAGAAAGGATCACCCTACATCGAGTGAGTCATAGACTTAACTCATTTGATTTAATTAACAAACTCTGGAACATGAAGAGTTTGCTGAAATACAAGAGTTGGTTTACAACTTCCAGATCCTCTCCCTCTGCATAAATAATTCAAACTGAACCACACACAGACCACATTACTTGGTCTGCAGCTGCTCTTTCTGCCTTAGAGTGCACATTAAAGAGCGACACATAATTATCTGCTGGAATGGGAGGTAGCTATGTGGACATTAGTCAGGGGGCACGTGTGTGTGTGTGGGTGGATGTAGAGGTGAACGGTTGGGTGGATGTGCCCTTTACTTTGACAGGGTACAAGTAAGGACTGTAAGCTCTACCGCACAAAGACACGTCCTGGCAAAGGTACTGCGAGAGAGAAGAAGAGACGTAGGCAAAGAAGAAAAATAAAATGAATAAAAAAATTATGCAAATGCTGCTCTTATACAACATCATTTCAGCACCTTTGCTCTGCGTTCAAGGCCAGAATGAAACCTTCATTAGCTTGTGCAAGATGGGCCGGCAGACTAACTCAATACACTGTAGGAAACCGGTTCAGCCTTGGATTTATGTCAACAGCGCAATATCAACACCCACAATACTCAACACAAAAAAAGTGCATTCATCTTAAGAGTCATTGTTGTTTAATAATATGATGTCAACATATATTGCCCTCAGGTCATCAGTATTCACCGTCTGGCCATGATGTGTGTTAAAGGTCAGGTGGAAGTTGCAGATGCACCATAAAACAGATCTCACTCAGCTTTAATGAAAATGTATTCAAATGCTGAGACATGTTGTGCTTTATGTATTCCTTTTAATATCCCTTCCGGTAACACACATTAGATGGAGCTTTCCATTATGCTGGGAAATCAGTGTTGCTGCTGTTCACTTTCTGTCTGTCTGGAATACAGAGTACTAAAAGTTGTTGTGGTTTTGACAAAGCCATGTGATGTGTTGTGCTCATAGTCACCGCACAGGCTGGAGTATCTGCGCTAAGATCAAAAGCTAATGTTTACTATAAATGTACCCTCTGCTCAGATCACACAAGCACAGTCAACTTAAAGCCCACATACTGAAACTGGCAGCCCGCAGGGGAGCGAACCACCTCGGATTTCAACTCAAATTGAACTGTTGTGCGAGAATGGCCTGACGCAGGATGTGTTGCTTTTCATAACAGTAGTGTTCTATCCACATGAGTAATCCCCGAGATGGAAAGTTTTTAGTGCGTTAGAGGAGCAGTGTGTAAGATTAAGGGGGATATGTCGGCAGAAATGTAATAAGATACAGTAAGTATGTTTTCTTCAGTGTAAATAGAGCCATTTACACTTTTTACCGTCTATCACTGTAGTTAGCAGCCCCTCTGCGACAAAAGCGTCATAAAAACATCAATTTTGTAACATGAAACTGGTTTACTCAGTGCTCCTACTGGTTTAAATCACCCGGCGTGTTTGTTTTTGGAGAGACCACTGTGGATAATGCAGCTCCAGTAAAAACCTCCTGAACATCCGGATTGTAAATTGTGAGAAAAGAAAAGGTGAGCATACATTAGCAGTTGCTGAGCTAGCGGCTCACCGCTGACATGCCAAACCATCCGTTTGTTTACCTCTGCAGATAATTCAGCTCCTGTTAAAAACCTCCTGAATAATGAACACTGAAGTAATTCTAACAGAGAAAAGTGGCTGCAATCTGCAATCCTCACAGCTAGATGCCACTAAATCCCCCTAAACCTTGCACATGGGACCTTTAAAGGAGCAGTGTGTAGGATTTAGTGGCATCTAGCAGTGAGGGCTGCAGATTGCAACCAGCTGAAACTTCTCCCATGTGCCAAGCATGAACTCCTGGTTAGGATTCCTTCAGTGTTCACTGTTCAGGAGGTTTTTACCAGGAGCTGTACTATCCAAAGGGGTCTGTTACTTCCCAAAACAAACAGACCAGGGGTCTCATTTATAAAACAGTGCATAGGATCCATACTAAAAATGTATGTACAGACAAAAGCCAAAAATTAAATGCGCCAAAAAAAGGTTTAACTATTTCTACTATCAGGCTTCCACCTCGTCATCTGTGTCGCCAATTCCCTGTTTCCAAAATGTTCGTAAGCATGGGTCAAAGTTTCTCCCATCAAGTCTGTTTCTATAGATCAGAACTTTTGCGTGGGAAGTGGCGTACGCCTCTTTTCAGGCCTCATTTTGTGAGTACGCAATGTTTATAAATGAGACCCCAGGTGATTTAAACTGGTTAAACACTGAATAAAACAGTTTCAGGTTACAAATTAGTGTTTCTTTGATACTGTTTGACTTGTTGCAGACAGGCCACTAGCCCAGCACCTGCTAATGTGTGCTCACGTATTTTCTCTGATAACTTAAGATCTGGACATTCAAGAGGTTTTCACTTTCACTGAACAGTTCCCTGTTCAAATCTGTGTTTAGCCAGCACTGTTTGGCAGAAAGGCTGCTAACTACATTGGCTGACACAAAAACTGTGAATGGCCCTGTCTAGAGCCAGTATTTGGTTTGTCCATTCTGGGCTACTGTAGAAACATGGCGGTGCAACATGGACCAGGTGTAGATATAAATGACTCATTCTGAGGCAATAACAACCCAACAATTCTTATTTTCAGGTGATTATGAGCTAAAGATGCACACTAATATGATATTTAATTTCTCCCCCTAATCCTTACACACTGGACCTTTAAAATGGCCTCCTACAGGCAGAAAGATCACCAGTGGACATAATCCCATCTGTGAATAGACCATCTCTTGCATTTAAAATCACAAAAACAATTGAACTTTTTCTAATGTTAAAATTAAAGTACAAGGGCTGCATTTATAGCTGTTTTAGGGGACAGGCTCACAAGCTGAAGATGTGGAGTCTAATTAGCGAATGACTCAGCAAGCCAGAACTCTGGGGTATTACGCCTGACTTGTGTTTTTCACTTTAACACATAATTTCCTTGCAAGAAGTTTCACGTCACCCACCAAAACCTTTACAAATATCAAGGCAGTGATGATATTTTAAAAAGACTGAGGAAGGTAGAGATCGTGTTTTTCCTTATTACAGTAATCACCTTGCCCTCATTAATTTTTCTTCCCCATCACCTTGAGACTGGTGATTAGAGTGTGTGTGAGATTCTTTAGTCTCACACACTGATCTGTGACAGTTATTGTCCCCCCAGCTGACAGATCAGGGTGTTACTCACCTGAAAATTTATTGGGTGCAGTCAGCCTTGTCTAATGACAGCTGCTTGACTGGTGACGTTCATTTTCCCGTCTCATCAGTTTCTGGGAAGCTTCACACAGTTGCACAGAAAGTGCAGATATGTGAAAATGATGAATGGTTTGTTGCTATGCTGGATACATGTGTGTGTGTGTGTGTGTGTGTGTGTGTGTGTGTGTGTGTGTGTGTGTGTGTGTGTGTGTAAGTGGGTGTATCAATGAAAGATAATGACGTCGTGATGAAGCAAATCAATGAAGGAGAACCCGCTCGTTGATATTTGATTGTTTGTTTGCAGCCCATTTTGCATCATAATCTCCATAATTAATTTTCATGATCACAGCAGAATACAGCTGCAGACCTTGGACTTAAGAGAATAAAAGCCACATTATTTCACCTATAGCACTGTTACTGAAGACCCGTTAAGAAGATCCTGTTTTCTTCCATTTCTCCTGAGGGGAAAGAGTTGACCTCTAACAATTTACATAAGGTTACCTCAACAAGCACATTCTTACTAAAAATGAGATTTCATTTTGAGGTGAATAATTGTGTGTTTTGTAAATGGGAAATTGAGTTTGGAACATGTGAGTTGACAGTGAGGACAGTCAAATTTAGTGTTTGTGCTGATGACAAGAACCTGGACTTTGTTCTCAATATTGTGTTTTTATCATGGAAGGTTTTTTTTTTAATATATAAATGTAGATGATGACATGGTGGTGCAGTGGTTAGCATTGTCGCCTCACAGCAAGATCGTTCCTGGTTAAAACCCGGGGTGGGGGAGCCCTTCTGTGTGGGTTTTCGTCCTCCCACAGTCCAAAGACATGCAGGTTAATTGGTGACTCTAAATTTTCCATAGGTGTGATGTGAGTGTGAATGGTTGTCTGTCTCTACAGTATGTGTCAGCCCTGTGATAGTTTTATTCTTATTTCTGACGTTGTGGTGGTTGATTTTGATGTTGCCCAACCTGAGGCAGAAAATGATTTTACAAAAAGAAGGAAAAATAAATATGACAGAGATGGGTTTGCCTTTTTCAAGGGCATATTTTGCAAATGGCGCTGTTTTTAAATTAATGAGAGTTCTCTGAAAACAGGTATATTTTTTAAGGTGCACTGTCTGTATTTACACCTGTTGTTTGTATTTATGAGGGAGATGAAACAACACATCAATGATTCCTGTCACAAATGCTTTCAAAACAATGAACGTATTCAGTAGTTTTACAGTTTTTATGTGAACCATGAATCACTCAGGTCTTTATCTCTGCTGTATTTCACCTTGTATTTGTTTTGCTTTCATTGTCTTTTTCTGCTTGGCACTGGTTTCGTTTTCTCAGTGATTCATTTGCATGTGTATGAATTTGATGATTGATGATGATGATGACACCGTATGTCTACAGTTTGAAACAAAAAGTTCACTACTTCCGGTTATTTATTTAGAGCTTTATTTCTTATAATAAAGACATATTAAAAACTCAAGGACGTTTAGCAGCACATTAATTTCAAGAGACGAACCCTTAATTACGCCTTTTCTCCAAGTACATGACGTGTTGTTTAAAAAAAAACACGTAAAAAATAAAGTATGTTTTTAAGGCTGGAGTTTAACGCTGGAGGGACTACTTCCGGATAGCCATGTGTTTTTCACACAAATATGATGTCACCAGTCATAATAGCAGCGATTGGTCAGTGCAGCAACGGGGCGTCTATTCTTGCGCTCTCATTGGCTGCGATGTTAAATCCCCTCCTCCTGATTGGTCCGCAGCTTCGCTCAGCTATTGGCTGAATTCACGCCCGAGAATTTGAAAATCGGTGCTCGCCTTCACACAGAAGGGACCAGCTGCTCGGGGAGAGGAAGAAAGACAAAGATTAGGACGTAATCTGTTTAAAAACAAAGGTAAGAGGTGAAATAAAAGTTTTTACGTAGCTAACACACATTTAAAGTTTGTTTGGATCACGCGGTGAAGTTAAATTGTGCACAAGATCACGGTGTTTGTGTCGATTGGATGAAGCACAGCTGCGGTGATGTTATATTGTTGTAGTTCAGGGAGTTTTTAAGCAAACAGCTGTTCATTAATAAATTTGAACGCCTGTATTTGGCAGGAAGTCGCAGCCATGTTATCCGGGGATGACGGTGCCGAGCTGCAGTGCTGTGTGACGGTGGAGCAGTTGAACCTCTCCGGTCAGGCCACCCGGAGGCAGGTCATCCGTAAAGCCTCTGTGATCCTGGGCCGGAATGAGTTCCAGGAGATCATCCTCCGGGTCAGCGACGGGAAAGTCCCTCAAAACTACCCCCTTAAAGACTTCAAACTTTTCACCAAGTTCGCCAGAGACGGGAAGTGCACCATCAAACTGCTCCCTGAGAACATCCAACTGCTCATCTCCAACTGCCCCTCTGACCGGCTGCACCTCTTCCTCAAAACCCTGAGCATCAAACACCAGGCCCGGCTGAGCTGCAAGCCTCTGAGCGGCAGAGAGAAGCTCAAAGCCGGCCTGCCCCGCAGCTTCGAGGCCATCAGCCCCCTGCAGCAAAAGGATATCCAGAAAGTCAATGAGCTGAGGAGTAAAGAGGCGCCTAAAGGCCTGGCAGACCGCACCAATAAGACTGTGGCAGGGACAGGACAGCAGGTCAAAAGGTCGAGGAGTGAAACTAACTTCAGCCCAGTGAGTTGAATACACTCAAAAAAACATTTTAAAAGTGTTTTTATCTGTAGCACACTGCTGAGTCGACCACCATCTTTGTATCCGGTCTGTTAAGTGGCTGTGTATTGATTGTTTCAGGTGAAGGCCAACCCAAGCAAAAAGCCCATCCTGTCTCTGCCATCACGGAGGCTGAATAAAGAGCAGGCGGCTGTTCTGAGTGCTGTGCTGACTGGGAAGAACGTCTTCTTCACTGGAAGTGCAGGTAATAAATCAAATTGTGTTTTGACAAAGCCAAACACTGTTCATCTGCACACACTGAGATGCCACACAGCTGGTTCGATGTCAGCAAAGTTTCCCTTTATATTCATTGTCTTGTGTGTCGATCAGCAGTGATGTGGTGGTTCACTTTTACACTGTGATCTGTAGCCTATAGTTCAGCTTTAGCTTCTAACTATCTTTGTCTTTTTAACCTGTTGTTGCTGCTGAGTCAGTTTGACATCCTGGATATATCCTTCAAACACAGACTGTAGACCCCTCTGTCTGCTTCTCTCTGGAATCACTGTTTCATTTTTCCAAAAATATGACCACCACAAAGGGGCGTGGCTTAGCGAGAGGTCAATTAGTTATGAGCAGCTGGTACATAGAGAAACAAACAAAGGAGCTAAAACGTTGACCAAAACCCATAAATAATTAATGCTGGGAAACACCCTTTCATAACACCATAAAAGATCAGATAACAATATATTAATAATAGTGGAGCCCAGGTATGGTTGAAACACCTTTTGGCTCAGCGCCTGTCACTCAAATTTTGACGCAGTACTCTCATTTGTCTACCATCAAATGTCAATGTTTTCACCTTCTCCACCTGCGTCACAGAAACTTTTAACTGATGTCAAAGACAAGGAGTTCCATTGTTATTACATAGGAGTACAACAAAATTAGTTGTGACACTCAAGTGATGCATTTCAACAGATAACATAAAAACACAAGACATTAAATAGATAATTATGAAAGTATTTAAAGTTCAGCAAAGGGCTGAGTGGGTGGCAGAATGGCAGTGGTAAATATTATTTGATTTTTGTTTTATTTAGTGTGCTGATGGCAGTGGGGAAAAGAAACTGACTCGGAGTCTGGTGGTGCGTGTTCTGGCAGCTCTGTAGCGTCTGCCAGATGGCAACAGTTTTAAGAGTTGGTGACCAGGATGAGAGGGGTCGTAAATAAAGTTTTTGCTCTGCTGATGTAGCATGAAGGGATGAGTTCTGCAAAACAGGTCGTGCACCAACGTGCTTAACAGACACAGACACATGAGTACAAATACAAGCACAGAGACATAAAAGTGCACAGATGAGTCGGACAACATCAAAATAAAACAAGTTTAAACCCAGGTAACCAGATTGAATGAATAGAAGAACAGGTCAAACACAATTAAAAGCCAGAGAATAAAAAATGGGTTTTAAGGTGCGTCATAAAAGCATCAACAGACTCAGCCTGTCTAATGGCGGCGCTGTAGAGAGAGCCTTGTCCCCGGCCTTTCTTCTCCATGAATGGGGCACAGCCAACACACCACGGTGGGTGGATCTGAGTGGTCTGTGGTGGCGTACAGGGTAGAGCTCTGAGATGAATGTAGGGGCGAGAGCATGGAGAGATTTATAGACAGTTAGACGGATTTTGAAGTGTATCCTGAAATGAACGGGGTGGCGGTGTGAGGATGGAAGGATCTGGGCGATGTGGTCTCATTTCTTGGATCTTGTTAATAACCCGGCAGCAGCATTTTGATTTTGTTGTAAATGGGATATGGTAGCCTGTCATAGCAAACTCCTCCCGTGTGCTGTATTCAGAATACAAAGTGCTCCCATCAGGGATCCTGTTTAATACAGGAGGAGAAACCTGAATAGGTATAAAATCTTTCCTCCCTCCTCTAAACTCAGATGGTGTTGCATTTATGTGACTGCACTTTATGTTTGCACTTGCCTGCTCTGCACTTAATGTCTTGTGTCTTATGTGGCAGCCTTTATGTCCAAGACAAATGTCCCGAGGGACAAAAAGTAATCTTGAATCTTTAAATTCACACGCAACATCCTGACACAAAGAAGCTGCTTTCAGGACCATTTGTCTAAAACAGATACTCTTGCAATATTACTGTCTGACTGACTTATGTTATGTCTCTCTGATGCTGTCATTTAGGTAACATGTTTCAGGCATTTTGTCTTTAATATTTCCTCAATAGATCTGATTTAAATCTCCTTTTTGTGACACGTTTATGGTGTTTTTCCTTGTGAAGGTGTCTATGTTGAAAGATATAGGCTACTTTGCAGGAATTTCCTTAAGACCAATGTATAGACTCATAGAAGTAAGTCTGTCACACCATATTGGCCTGTGTGAAATGCTGCAACAATCAAGTACAAAAGGCCACAGACGAGACGATAATAAAGTCCCAATGTCCTCAAACAAAAACTTCCTAATTAACAGTGTCTCAGCTTGTTACTGTTGCTGAAATTGGTCAAATTTGTTGCCGTATCAAACAACAAACATTATTAATCCTAAATAAACAAGCTTCAACCCTAACATGTGATCAGGTTTTGAACTTTGTCCACTTTTGTGTCAGGATCAGCTGCAGACTGACTTGGCAGAGATGGCTGCCATCTTGTTTTTACATGGATTAGTGTGTTGTGCTCGTACTACCACTAGATGGCACAAGAAGTGTCCACAAACAAGGACAACAGGTCTAAGCTGAGCAGAATGAATTACATGGTGCAGCAAAGCCAAAATGTGATGTCCTCGTATGAGGCTGTAGGGTCTCAGGAGGATAAAGTGAGGTGACACGCTGATCTGAGGTTGGATTTTACTTTCACTTTCACTGGCAAGCGTGTTTGCAAACATTAACCATCAATCCTGAATGGTATACCCTTTCAAGCTCTTTTGAATGTGTGTTTTCCAGGTACAGGAAAGTCCTTCCTACTGAAGAGAATCATGGGGTCTCTTCCTCCAAAGAGCACCTTCGCCACCGCCAGCACAGGAGTGGCCGCGTGTCACATCGGAGGAACGACGTTACACAACTTTGCTGGTCAGTCTCCAAGGAGACGGAAATTGTTTGTTACAAAACACTGACACAAATGTGTCTGTAAATAACACATAATTAGTGGGGAGAGATGTGCAGAGGGTTTTTATCCTCAACATCAACAAGACATATTGAGTGGTACCCAAATAATTAGTCAATTTGCTGTTTTCAATAACGGCCTCTCCTGAAATTAGTCATTGCTGACGGACACAAAGCATGAGGCATAATCTTTATCAGTAGAGAGGCAAATAACACGTCTTTTCATTACCAATTAAATCTGCAGATTATACTCTTTTAATTAAAGTGACACTTTGCCAATGTGGCATCTTCAAGCTGCTTGTTTCATTCAACTGTATTCAGTTTACAATGATACAAAACGGTTGAAACTGGACTATCAAAACACAATTGTGTTCACAGTCCTGTTCCTTTGGTTGTGCTTACTTTGTCAAAGTAGAGCTGCAGCCTTTGACGGCGCTATAATGTCTGTGTGATGGCGTTTTTCAGGTTATGAATCTTTAATATAATCAAAGCAGAGGTGTCAGATGTCTCTCCACATTAACAGATGTCTTTTAATTAAATCTTAATAAACAGTAGAGGCCGTGCATTGAGTGTTTGCATTAGGTGTTATGCATTTATGTTCCCTCAGACCATCTGTCTTCCCATCCTCCTGTCCCCGCACGCTCTCTCCAGGTATCGGCTCCGGCTCGGCCCCGCTGGAGCAGTGCATCGAGCTGGCTCAGAGGCCCGGGGTGCTGCAGCACTGGACCAGCTGTCGACACCTCATCATTGATGAGGTCTCCATGGTGGAGGCTCAGTTCTTTGACAAGCTTGAGGCAGTGGCCAGGTGAGACGACCATGTAAAAATAAAATCACTTCATGCTGCCACAGTATATCATAATAGAAATCTTTAGTGAAGCAGATTGTAGATTATTTTTCCATGTTTTGTGTCTAAGTGACAAATGGAGACGACAGTTTTTGAAATTGGTCCAGGATTGAAGAGACAGCAGCGAAACAGCCTGCTATATAAACACAAGCATCATCAGTTTATGTCCACTAAAAGTGTTTGTTTTTGCCACTGACAGGCTCAGATTGTTATTTCAAGTGTCTGACAACATTATGAAAAGGATCCCTACAGAGACAGATCTTTTTCTTAAAGAGTAAGATCCTTTTTGTTTAACCAGAAACGGCTCCATAATCGCTGTCACCACATCCACCAGACTCCATTGAAATAAACAGTAATTTTAGCGTGTATAGAGCCAGCATATTTTCACATCTAACTGGGTGAATTTCATTTTTATTTCAACCAAACCAGAGTTGGTGATTGTTGGTACAGTGGAAAGATGAACCACGGCGTTTTTTGTGAATTTCATTTTGTTTCTGCTGACTATGAATAAAGTGTGTTTTATGATGTGTAAACAACTATTCATTTATAATTCGTAAAAACAAAACTGTATGTTGAAAGGTTAAAGAAAAATAAGTTTCAGCTGTGTGTTGAAGAGTGAACAGAGAATGGCAGACGTCAAGGTTTTAAATGGTCTGTAATAACCTGCTCATAATGTTTGATGCTCAAAATTCAAAGTTTCCAAACACACTGTGGGGACACTTAAGATTTACACACCCCTGTCAGAGACTCCCATCACCTCCTAAATTTCACTGTGATGCTACAGTGACAGTGTTTGAGCACAGTGTGACTTCAAGCAGGAAGGATTTTAACACAATTTGATATGAATTTCAGTGTGCTTGTGTCTTATGGTTTATGGCTCCAGTTAGATTGGACCATATCCTGGGTTTTAAAGCTCAGCGTTGTCTGATGTGAGCTATATTTTGTGACACACTGCATTGCAGATTTGATATGAGATTATAAAAAAAAAGCATGGCTGTCAGATAATCAAAAATAATTCAGCCATGTATACTTTATAATCACTGCAGGCATTTTTTGTGACACACATGACGCTCTTTGTGATGCTCTTGTAGGTCGGTGAGGAGGTCGACTCAGCCGTTTGGAGGCATCCAGCTGATCGTGTGTGGCGACTTCCTCCAGCTGCCTCCTGTTTCTAAGGGGAAGGAAAAGGCCAGCTTCTGCTTCCAGGTCAGATCATCCTGGATCTTAGAGCTCCTCCATGTTTATGCCATTGTTTTGGTAATGCTGTGGTCAATGAGCTGACAGGGCATTAGAGCGATTGGGTCATTAACACTGAAGTGTTCTTTCAAGTCTATGGTGTATTTTGAGTTATAGTTGGAGATGGAAATTGTAATATTTTGTGTACTCACTCATGTAAATTGTAGTAAAGACTGATAGACCATTTGACACTTCCACAGTCACAATACAAGACTGCTTATCTATTATTTCCGTGCATGTGCTGAGAGAATGATCAGAGTTTATGAGTCAGTACTGTTCTGAGTCATCTACTCACTTCCTGAAGAGCACAAAAGAAATACTTTTCTCCTAAATTATTATTTATCAGTTACTCACCCCATATTGCATTGAATTCATTAAGAAAACGTTGCTTTTTTCCCCACATGCCTCCACAGTGAATGAATAATCTAAAAATAGAAAATTCTTAATTAATAAAGTAAAAGGGGTCTGCATTTAACAACAGCTGAACTTTATCAAAACATCTGCTTACAAACTCCAACAAAACTCGTGCAGTATAATCCAAGTCTCAATTATCCAGTCGTATGCTCAGTATTTCCCAGACAGACATTTTCGACAAGGAACTGAACGGTAAATTTACCTCACTGAACACAGGAGCTGCTGGTGTATGCTGCCTCAGTCTATTAATCAGGATTTATACTTGTGTGTCAGCTCCATGCAGAGCCTCTGCCATAGCCTACACATGTGACCTACGCCGCTGGGAGCATTTATGCTTGTGTGGTGGTGTGTCTGTGTCACTCTGCAGTTACACCTCCAAAACACTAGTCAGCAGCGGAGGTTTCTGTGAAGTGCTGTAAAGTGTAGTTGATTCAAAACACACATTAAACACACATTAAACACACATTAAACGTGGCTTAATAGAGACCGTTTCAAACACAAGTACACAAATCAGCTTCACTATAACTCGCAGCATTCACAGACAAACACTTGTCTTTATCTGGACACATTTTCCCCACAAATACAACATGCTAACGTTATTAGCACAAGCCTATGGCATTTTACGTTGTATAAATTAACCTAGCGAAGATGTCCCCTATGCATATGAAGCCAGGAACAACAGCAACATTTAACAAAGGTAACGTTACAAAATTCAGCTCCATTATAACTCACAAGGTTCACTGACAAAACAACTGTCTTATACTAAACACGTTTTTACAAACAAATATAACATGCTAACGTTATTAGCACAAGCCTATGGCATTTTACATTGTATAAATTAGCCTAGCAACTAGTGAGATTTCCTCTGCTCATATGAAGCCAGGATAAATCACACACAAGACTTAAAATGTTATTTTTGTGGAGGCTTTATTGGCTTCACTATTTATTGTGTTTATCTGTGAAATTAAAGTAAATAAAAGCTTTGTTTCAACTGGGAGGGAAATGGGTTCAGCTTACAGAAACAGACAGGAGGTCTGCGTCACCACGACGTGTAGTTACATTTCTGGGGAGGTGCATGTCAGGCTACGGCGTCTTATTTATCCAGTCATTGGATTCTTTGTTCACTGTGAAAAACAAAGTTTTCTTTACAAATTTTATGTAAAACAGGGTGAGTAATTGATATACAAATTAACAATTTATAGGTGGGATTTTCCTTTAATGGATGTTATTGAAAAAGACCTCTTCCCTTTTTCAGGCTAGGAGTTGGCGTAAGGTCATCCAGGTCAACATGGAGCTAATGGAGGTGCGGAGGCAAACTGACCAGTCATTCATCTCCCTCCTGCAGGCAGTGAGGGTGGGCAGGTAAAGTAATGGGTTCTGTCCTTGTTTTTCGAGCCATGTCATTGACAAAGTGTGTTTTATTACAGCTAATGTGATCCTCACACACACGTATTAGTCCAAATGTAGAGCATCATGTGTTGTCTAGTTAAGAGCGTTGCATAAATGCCTTTAGAGCTGTTTGAGGCTTTTTAGGCCTAGCAGGTCATTTTTTTACTCTACAGAACATTTATTCTCTGCTGCAAAAATGGCTTTGCTAAATGAAATGTTCTGTCTCGATTAACACCATTTAGGGTGACAGAGGAAGTCACCGCTAAGCTGATGGAAAGCGCCTACCATAACATCGAGAGGGACGGTATTCTAGCGACCAGGCTGTGCACGCACAAGGACGACGTGGAGCTCACAAATGAGAACAAACTCCAGCAGCTGCCGGGTCTGAATTCTTCCATTTCCTTTTTTCCTCTTCAACTTGAAACAGGTGTTTCTTCATCTTGATCCAGGTGAAAATAGGCAGGACGGTTGACTGTGTTGAAACCTATTTTCAGTCTCAGCCAGACACCCCTTACTTTCTGACTCCTGCTGTATTCTGTTTAGATATACTTCTATTTTTGTAAGCCGTAACTGCGTCAGTAAACTGTGAGGAGTGTTTTTAACCAGCAGTTTAAACATTTTTTAGATTATTTTTTGGGCAGTTAAGTCTGAACTAACAACATTTGTGATGATTTTTAACCATTTCCTTGTTTGTGGTTTCATACTCAGATATCTTAGGGTTCTTATATAGTGAATCTCTCCTTGTCCTGCAGGGTCAGTGCGTGCGTTTGAGGCTCTGGACAGCGACCCAGCCCTGGTGAGGACGATAGATGCTCACAGTCCTGTCAGCAGGCTGATCCAGCTCAAAGTGGGAGCTCAGGTGAATGTACTTTTTATTCTCCACAATCTACTGCAGTTTAGCATGCAGCAGTGAACCTGTGATATGTGTTTGGGTGAAGACCTTTTTTGTGCTTTTTAAGGTCATGCTAACAAAGAACCTGGATGTTGCCCGAGGACTGGTGAACGGAGCACGAGGGGTTGTGGTGTCTTTTGAGACTGGAAAACATGGTCAGTATCTCTTTTTATCAAATTATCTCGATACATATTGTAGACATATTTGCTCGGAGAAGCCATATTTTATACAAAATCATAAAAATGTAGTTGTAAATACACCCTGAGAATTGCAGAGGATGCAATGGTCACAGAAGGATATTTTATGAAAGACGAACTTAAAGGGTAACATTGGTATTGTTCAGGCTGGACCCTATTTTCCCACACTTTTGTGTCTAAGTGAGTAATGGAAACAACAGTTTTTGAAAATGGTCCAGTATTGAGTGAGAGCACTGCGGACGGCAGATGCAAAACAGGCTGCAGTGTAACCACTTGGGGCATTTGTTCACCTCTAGTGTACATTCCTTAAAGTACTGTTTTTTTGTCACTAACAGGCTCAAATTGTTATTTTAAGTGTCTGACAACATTACGGAAAGGATCCCTACAGAGATAGACCTTTTGTTCAAGAGTAAGATCTTTTTAGTATAACGAGAAACAGCCCCCAAATTACTTTCACCAAAGCCACCAGACTCCATTTAAATAAACAGTAATTTCATTATTGTGACACACAGTTCATATAAAGCTGAAAGAAGCAAAATGAAACTCACAAAAGCCATCTTGGTTCATCTTTTCACTGTTCCAACATTTACCAACTCTGGTTTGCTTGAAATAAACTCTTAATTCAGCAGTCAGGTGTAAAAAACATGCTGGCTCTATACATGCTAGAATTACTGTTTATTTAAATGGAGTCTGGTGGGTTTGGCTATTGAGCTTTCAGGGCTGTTTCTAGTTAAACAAAAAGGATCTTGCTCTTTAACAAAAGGTCTATCTCTGTAGGGATCCTTTCCATAATGTTGTCAGACACTTAAAATAACAATATGAGCCTGTCAGTGGCAAAAGCAAGCACTCTTCAGAACAAAAATTGATGTTGCACTCATGCCCTGAGTGTTTACATTGCAGGCTGTTCCTCTGCTGTCTGCTGTGGCAGCCTTGCTCAACTGGACCAATTTCAAAAACTGTCTCCCACACTCAATTGGACACAAAAACACAGGCAAATAGTGTCCAGGTTGAAAAATAGCAAAGTTACCCTTTAAGGTCTTTCATGTTGTATCGGTAGGTCAGGCAGAAACAAAATGTCATATTCCTTTAAAATGCCACAGATTATGTCTTTTCAGTAATGATGGTGGTAAATTTCAGTCCATCCATGCACTGACTCATCCTCTGTTGCCTCAGGACTCCCACGTGTGCGTTTCCTGTGTGGTGTCACAGAGGTGCTGAAGCCCGAGCGCTGGGTGTTTAAGTCCGGCGGTGGGATCCACCTGAGTCGACAACAGCTGCCACTCAAGCTGGCCTGGGCCATCTCCATCCACAAGAGCCAGGTGAGTACAGGTTCGGCCACACTGGCGACAACTCGCGCAGCAATACTTAGACAAAAGCTCTCAAATCACCATGATGACATCCGTTTGTCTTTGTGGCAGACACTGCTCAGTGTTGCCATGGGACACCAGTGTTTTCTGTGCGTTCCTCTTGAACGCGTGACTCACATGACGTGATTTGAATTCAGTCAGTCTGAAACTAATTCATTTTTCTTTTTGTGCGGCATTTGTAGTCAGCCGATGGCTGGAGCTGAGTCACTGTCTGCATTACTGCTCTTCAAGGTTAAGATGAAAAGGAGAGGGCAGATGAGAGCGATGTCAGAAATATACACCGTGTTCAGATAAAAATAATTGTCTCATTTAACCCAGGAGAAAAGTCTAGTCACTAGTAGTAGTGTTGTGTTATCACTGGATTTATTAAGTGTGAGGTTTCTCTACATCTTTTAGCTGTTGTCATGAAATTGACAATAGCTAGAAATGATCATAGAATTTTGTACAGATCTTCATGAGCCACAAAGGATCAAGCAGAGTTTTTATATTCCTTGTCAGCATCTACTGTACAGGATGGATTGGCACAAATTTAGTACTGACGTAATTGGTTCCCAAATGATAAATCTTAAAGGCTAAGTTGAGTATTTTTTAATCTGGACCCTATTTCCCCATGTTTTTGTGTCTAAGTGACTAATGGAGACAACTGCTTTTGGAACTGGTCCAATACTGAGTGAGACGGCTGCAGTTTGTAGCAGCAAAATAAGCAGCAACGTATCCACTCGGGGCATTTGTATCGTTATGTCTCAAAAATTGCCACTGACGGGCTCATAAGTGTCTGACAACATTATGGAGAGGATCCCTACAGAGATAGACCTTTTGTTAAAGAGTAAGGTACTTTTTTTTTAACCAGAGATGGACCCAAAATTGCCAGACCATTAAATACACATTCATTTTAGTGTGTACAGAGCCTAATGTTTTCACTTCTACCTGGTGAAATAAGGGTTTATTACAACCAAACGAGAGTTGTTTAATGTTTTTATGTCTAAGTAACAGTTTTTGAAATTGGTCCAGTATTGACGGAGACAGCAGTGAAACAGCCTGTGATGCAAACACTTGGGGTGTGTTCGTACCATCAATTCTGTTCGCAAAAAGTGTTTGCTTTTGCCACTGACAGGCTCATATTGTTATTTTAAGTGTGTGACAACATTATGGAAGTGATCCCTACAGAGATAGACCTTTTTCTTAAAGAGTAAGATCATTTTTGTTTAACCAGAAACAGCCCCGAAATCACAATTCCCAAACCCACCAGACTCCATTTAAATAAACAGTAATTTTAGCATGTATAGAGCCAGCATAAGTTCACATCTAACTGGATGAATTAAATGTTTATTTCAACCAAACCAGAGTTGGGGATTGTTGGACCAGTGTAAAGATGAACCAAGATGTTTTCTGTGGGTTGTATATTGTTTATTTTGACTTAAAATGAAGTGTGTTTTACGATGATAAAATCAGTGTTTATTTAAATAGAGTCTGGTGGGTTTGGCGACGGCAATTTCAGTTCATTCTGGTTAAACAAAAACGATCTTATGCTCTCACCACAAGGTCTATCTCTGTAGGGATCCTTTCCATAATGTTGTCGGACGGGTATTATAACAATCTGAGCCTGCCAGTAGCAAAAACAAACACTTAGTGGACGTAAATTAATGGTGTGTGAACATGCCCCACGTGTTTACATTGCAGCCTGTTTTGCCGCTGCTGGCTGCACCCCAGGTTGAAAAATATCAGTTACCCTTTCATACCTTTGAGGTTAGCACTGCGGCAGCTTTGGCTCAGAGGTAAAGTGGGTTGTCCCCGTGTTGAAGTATCCTTGGACAAGATACTGAATCCCAGTTGCTCCCGATGGTTGTTCCATCAGTGTGTGCGTGAATGGTTACTGAGTAGCAGGTGGCACTATGTACAGTAGCCTCGGCCATCAGTGTGTGACTGTGTGTGTGTGAATGTGACATGTAGAGTGCAGTCCATTTAGTCCATTCACTGTACTACCAGGCTGGCTTGAGACCTCCTGAAGGGTCTGCCTAAACAGTATGATATAACCAGCAGGTGTGCAGTATTGGACTACTTAACACTGTAGTATTTGTATGCAATATGGATTCTGACCACAGCTCTAGTTCCTCTGCTCAGTATTCACACTGCTGTTTCTAACACTACTTTTCCCATCCTCCTTTTTATCGTGATGGATGGCGAGGTGCTCTCACTCGCTGTGCTATTAAACAGAGTGGCAGCATGTTAATCTGGTTAACTGAAAACAGATTGTTCTTGGCTGGTATTCATCAGGTTGCCCTGATTTGCAATCAGTCTTTTTGTAAACCTCTTAAATTGAACTCCACATAAACACCACCGAGTTTTAAAGCACTGTTTTGTAGTAGTGAATGATGAACAAAAGAATGGCACAATGAAATCAGAAGTGTTGTATTTCTTTCATAAAATCCATTTCCATAAAAACATTTCCGAAACTCAGTCTCAAAATCACACAGCACGCAGAGAGACTAGGTGAGTAAGACCAGGTGCCACAGTGCTATTTAATGTGGGAAATTGCTACAGACACCCTGAGCACCAACCCCGGTGTTAGTGCTTTCCAATAATGAGCTGTTATCACCGATCACTCCGCTGCCTCACCGCCTGCTTCCACAGCAAACTACATCCTGACCTGAGACTGTGAAATTGGTTTGAGGGGAAAATGGTGTCCCTCTGGGTAATTGAGTTCAGTGGCCACGACCGATGTGTCACCAATGTTTGATTTACAGCAGAGGAGCCGAAGCACGGGGAGATAAAGGGAATCCCACACCTGGATCCCTTCAGAGGAAATAAGCGGACATAAAAGGATTTTAACACCTAGGAGTAACAGGATTGGGAGGCGCAATATTGGACACACCTTATGTCAAATACTGCAACGTCCATCCATCAATTTTACTACAAAATGGATTCAATTCTGGGTTGTAAAATTGCTTTTCTGACCTGTAACCAGTGTTTGTCTCCTCTTTGTTTACTTTAGGGAATGACTCTGGACTGTGTGGAGATCTCTCTGGCGCGGGTGTTTGAGAGCGGCCAGGCCTACGTGGCCTTGTCTCGGGCTCGGAGCCTGGAGGGTCTGCGGGTGATGGACTTTGACCCCCGCGTGGTCAGGGCGGATCCAGATGTTCTCGTCTTCTACAGCAGACTAAGGAAGGAGAGGCTGCTCATGCAGGTGGGTGCAGAGGTCTCCCTCGTGTCATTGTCATTACCTACAAGGGTGCAGATTGTGTTTCACCATCGGGCGGTGACATATATAAAATGGCAGAGGGGATTTTCAGCATCAAACACTTAATTTCCTGTATTCTAGTGAATATTTCTGCACCAATTTGTTGCTTTTCTGCATAAATTTACGGTGGAAATGTCAAAAGTCGTCACACACAATCAAGACCTAAAACCATATTATATTTTGTAGCAGTCACATCACATGGTAGATTTGCTGACGATCCTCATTTGATATACATTTCCACACACCCTTCAGTCTCATTAAACACCTTCCTCTGTCTCCGCTGTCCTCCGCAGGCCTCCATGGATGATTATCTTGGCGGCAGCAACAAAGAAAACTCCTGGTGAGAAGATGAATTCATCCACATCTCCTGTGACATTATGCACTGTGTGCATGTTTTATCTGCATGATATCATCATGTTTTATTCCTCATGAGACAATTTGTTTTTTAAATGACTGCAACAATCACAGACATCAGCGATCACAGTCTACCTCACGGTTTTAACTGGCAGCACTTTAAGTCACACTGCCCCCTCCTGGCCATTTTTAATAGCTTCTTTTTTATGCCTTGATTTTTAATTTATTATCATGATTGTGGCATGTGTTTCAATAAAGTTTTAGTCAATTTATTTCTCTGCGTGGAGTGCTGTTTTGTCAGTGAGCCTTCTGAGTGCTATGCCATCACTAACTACAACACATAATAGTGGAAAGTAGTGTAATATAGTATACTATAGTGTTGTTATTTTTTTGGTCCTTGTTAACAATTTTCCACAAGGAATGCACAAAATAAAGAATAAATAACAACAAGGCATGGCATTACAAGAAAAAACAAAACAAACAAAAAAATAGACAAAGGTTTAGGCTTAAGCTTGTAATACCTACCCTTTGAACTCGTTTACTACTAGGTTATATATTAAAAAAGCAAACTAACAATACAAAACAGAAAACAAAAAGAGTAACATAAAAACATACACAGTAATAATACCCCAGTTTCTCACCATCCCAATAGTTAATTCCCTTGACAGGTGTAAATCTATTCTTTGCCATTACCTTTTGTTTTGTTTTTTTAAACATACCTGTTCCCTTAAGTTCATACTGGCTCTGTCTAATTTCAACCAATTTTAAAGCTGCCACTGATGATACTATTTAAAGTAGTCGCTGTAAAGCAACGTATGTCTGTTTTAGACTTTTTTTTTTTTCCTAAATATCCCCAACCTTAATTTTATGTCATTAGATCTAAGAAAGGCAGCAAAACTACAGGACATCATTGCGTGGAATTGGCCCAAAGCATCCTCTGATACCATATGATCACCTCTTAAGACTGTGTGATAATCCAGTATTTATCATTGCATCATGTCAATGGACGATATATTGTCCCAGAAATAATTGTGATAGATATTATTGTCATTTTAGGGCCATATAGCGTCATAGTGTTAGTGCGTGGTATTAAAATTGTGTGGTTAGCACCGTCACCTCACAGCAACAGGGTTCCTGGTTCAAACCCAGGGTGGGGGAGCCCTTCTGTGCGGAGTTTGCATGTTCTCCCTGTGTCAGCGTGGGTTTTCTCCAGGTACTCCAGCTTCCTCCCACAGTCCAAAGACATGCAGGTTAACTGGTGACTCTAAATTGTCCGTAGGTGTGAATGGTTGTCTGTCTCTATGTGTCAGCCCTGTGATAGTCTGGCAACCTGTCCAGAGTGTACCCTGCCTCTCACCCAACATCAGCTTCTTATTCTTAAGAACATTTAGACACTGGAATAGAAAAGTGAAAAACAATTAAGATATCCTTAGTAAGCAAGACATAAGAGTGTGTGTGTGTGTGTGTGTGTGTGTGTGTGTGTGTGTGTGGAGGAGCCTCGCCCAATGGTTTAACTCTGACAGAAGCAGCTCAACCAGAAATGATAGTAAAACATGTCTCAGCAGATTTTTTTTTCCATTCATGTGGTGCTATTAAAAAATGCCAAAACCCAAGTCTTATAATGGCTGGGAGAACCCTGCTGTTTATTCTGGCATCATGCTGGTGGCTTTTTTTTTTTTTTATGCAAACAAATATACATGTCAACACAATGGGCAATATCATAGAATATATGGATATGACCTAATTTTTGCAGACCTTGAAAGTGATAATTATCGTGACAGGCCTAATAGTGACTTTAATGTATCCCTATTACTCAACTGTGTTCCCAAATCTGACACATTTTCTCTCACATCAGATCCATAACCACTAGAGACAAAGTTAAGTATACAGTCAGTCACTTCCACGTGTACCACAGAAGAATCAAATGTGTTAAAATGATGTGACTCAGACAAACTGGAAACCAAAGTAAATCTTTATTTCCCTGTTAGAGTGTATCCGTGACCAAACCTGAGGTAAATATGCATTGCCAGAGCAGCCTACTTGCTTTTGCAAATGAAGTGACCACAGTGAGAGTTTGAGCCTTTTCTCTGCACGACCCTCGACAACTTCAAAGCACTCATTACTAAAACAAGCAGCAACTCATATGTTACATGCTGCGTCTGACCCCATCTACACACGTGAACACTGTACACAGAGGGGGGCATGTAGTTAGTGCAGGGATCTCAGAGAAGAAATTTACATTAATACACAGGAGAACAACAACAGAATGGCCCTGATTAATTATTTTACAATTTTAGCAGATAAATAGATTCTACAGCTGGAAGTGGTGGAAGCTGGACTGGATGTTTCATTTCACTTTATGGAACAGCTTGTGTGCTACCTGTAAACAGAGAGGAGACACATTTAGTATGTTCACTGGTCAACAACGACACAAAAATGAGCTCTTTCAAAACTCAATTCACATGTAGTCTGGTTTCTTATATACTTTGGGCACTTAAAGAGAAAAAAGAAGTGTACATCGTATTTTCTCCACTTCCACCCTCTTTTTGGTTCCAACACACTTACACAATGGTCCCGTGCATGCAGGAAGTCGAAGAGTTCTTCCGTGCATTCCTCCGTGGTGTTGGATCTCGAGCCGACTCGGGCTTCACACGTCTCCAGAAGCTCCTTGTAGTGCACACAGTGTTCGGTCTCCTCACACTTGGCTCGTATCGCATCAAGAGGGTCCTGAGGGGCACAAAAAGCACATGTGGCTATCATGGTTCTTCATCATCCCCTATATTATTATTCCCAAAAAAATTAACCAGTCACATGACTGACGATTAAGTGTTGACACTACAGCTGCTGTCAGCAACTTAATTCGTTGTCTCCACTTGTGATACTGAAGCCCAATTTTTCAATCTTAGGCAAAACATTTCTTAAAGTCTTTGGCAAATCAAGCTTGATGCTCAAACTGATATTTAAGCACAATGCACAGAATGATGATTGTTGTTAATGAGGGTGATTCTGGATGAAGTACTCATATCAAGTTTTACTTAACTAAAAGTACAAAAATATTGTCATCAGAAACTACTGATACTGCAGAACTGTTAATTTCAGAATGTGTATTACATTTTCAGATTATAATTTTAGACAATACGTATGTAACTTGTTGCCGCTTGTTAAGGGAGGGCTAACTGTAATTACACAATGCTGGGTAGCTTGTGAATTTCCGCCTAGGATCAATTAAGTCATATCTTAACCTTTAATAATTCATTGTTAATTTTATTTTGTATTATTAATCTGATTCTGAAAAGTAAGTAAAGATATCAAATGAGTGTAGTGAAGTATAAAGTATAATATTTTGGCTCTGAATTAAAGTGGTGTAGTTAATAAAGTTAGTAAGTTCAGTATTTCAGTAAATGTATCTTACGTTCCACCACTGACTGAAACACAACTACAGTGATGTATGTATGGAAAAAGTCAGATTCTGTACTGTCTTATAGCGGAATATACAAACCTAATTATCACATAACTTGAATGTGAGCTCGTGTCTTCTCTGCCCACCATGTTGGCCTTTTTTTATTTCACTCATTTCTGTCCTTAAAGGTCCCTTATCATGCTCATTTTCAACTGCTTTTTAACTAGAACATATTAACATGCTTTGACGTTCAAAATACACTTTATTTTCCTCATACTGTCTGCCTGAATATACATGGATTCACCCTGTAACACTCAGTTGTAGCACCTGTTTTTAAGCCCCAACTCTCGTAAAAGCCCAGTTTGCTCTGATTGATCAGTGTTTCCAGGTCTTCAATATCATTGCTCTGGGCATCTTTGCACAGTCACCGAAGCAGGGCAATGACTGTAACGGCACTGTTGTGGCACTTTCTACTTTTATATGGTATAGTTATGCAAACTAGCTACTGCTCCACCAGCTCAGTCTTGACAAAGTGCTGAAAAACATCAATGAGTCCAAAATGGTATAAAATTAAAAAAAATTCCGCACACTTGCATCTATGCAGTGTTTCACTTTATTTGTTAAGCTTTTGGTTTACTTGACCTTTGTGTGCTCTGACGAAGGTCAAGCAGACCGAAAGCTTAACAAATAATGTGAAACACTACATAGATGCAAGTGTGCGGAAATCTTTTTTTACCATATGGTATAGTTGTGACATCATAACTTCATGGACATCCTAACAGCTCGTTTAAGGGCACAGTTTCTGAATATGGACTGTGGATGAAGCATTTTGATACCTTCCCTGTATTTACATAGTTCCTACCTACTTTATAATAAAAATAAAGACCTGGAAATTTGACTTTTTCCTAATAGGTGACCTTTAAATATCTGTCAATACCTATACAGTTATTTAAGGTGACTAGTGTCTATACTTTAAACATTTCTGTAGTTTATTTCTGAGAGTTTTGAGTGTGATGGCAGGTGAGTGTTTGGGTTGTACTCAAAGATATTCATCCGTTATATGAAGAGCAAACTTACCACCATGTCTTCCTCTTCTTCCTCTTCCTCCTCTTCCTCCTCTCCCCCCTCTTCTTCCTCAGCTGGGGCATCTTCCTCCTGATCAGTAATGAACATTTAATTACTTTAATTTTTTAAAATCATACAAGTAAAACACTTATTACAGTAGCACATGTTTTAGGTTTGAGGAGCATCTATAGTTTTGTAGCTATACCAAGTGATGAACATCCAAAAAACCAATAGCAACCACCTGTGTTAACTCTTACATATATTTGAGAGGTACTCTGGACCTACCGCAGCAAAACTGCGGAAATATAACGTTATGTGAAAAAATAGACTAATGTACAGTTTTATAATTTAATCAGCCGTCCACGCTTGATACTCCAGGTGAAAGGAGGACACGACACTCGTTACACCGCTTAACAGACCAGCAGAGTTGAGTAACATAGCCAAACACACACACAAAAAGCGGCTAAAAATACAAATAAAAGTCTTTTTCAGTACCTCGTCGTCGGGGTCGTCGTAAGTGATCATCTTCCGCTCAAAAACCATGATTACAGCTCTGAAATTCACCCAAAAACCCCGACAGAGGACAGCTCGACAGCGGCGCTGCTTTTCGTTGAGGACGTGAGGTCGTTCACGCGCAGGAAACAACTAGAAGGATCACCGGACGTAGTTTTCTATTGGTTAAGGGTGATTACTCAACTCGCTCTAATCCAATCAGCGACTTGGATTTTGAGTAAGGCCCGCCCACACATGGGCAATACATTCGGAACGTTTGTTTCGGGTGTAGGAGCGAAGACGGACTGAATACCTGTCGCACAACAAGATGGCGCTGCTCTTGGACAGCAGGCTCCTGCTGAGGAAAGTTAAAGATTTAAGGTGTTTCACGCCAAGACGAAACCGAATGAAGCAGAAATGGGTATGTTGTCAATTTATTAACAAATAAAGCAGTTGATAATGGCCGCTAACTGTAAAACAACTCCTCAGACGTGTCAACGACCTTTATGTTTGGAGCTGAACAGAATGTGTGGCCACACAGTAAAATCGAGTAAATATTTAAAAATAGGTTTCACATTTGGATACTAACTGTTAAGGCCGTGGAAATGTAATAGACGAGAGTTGGACCGAAAATGTTAGCCCCTTAAATTTAAAAGTAGTGTGACAATAAATGACAGTATGGCAGACACAGTCAACTAATGAAACTGGCAAGTATACAACATACATGAACTTGTTGAACTCGCATAACCTACAGTGTAATAAGATATATATCTTTTTAGCAGAATTTGCATTGATTAATATAAAACTGTACACTGACATGGTCTTTGAGTTACCCATGATCCATGCACTTTCATTTACATGTTTCATTTAACTAAGTGAACTATAGAAACAAATGAGAACATCAGTGCGAGCAAACATTTAAAATCACTGGTTTGACCTCCTTGCTCCCAGACAAGCAGTAGTGGGATGTAACTAAATACATTTACGGTAGTACTTAAATCATTGTTGCACAGAGGCCCATGGGACAGAGGGGCCCGTAAAGAGAGCAGGCCCTCTAACAGCATGTTAGCCAGAGAACAGGCTCTTGTAACTCATTTAGATTGCCACCTCAAAAATACACCCATGTTCAAAGAAGAACTCGTGTTAAATTAAAAAAAGTGAGGCCAGCTGCGACAGTAAAATTCTAAGTATACTTTACATACAACTATAAAAGTTTTGTAGTTGTATGTAAAGTATACTTAAACCACAAATAAACCATAAATAATATCACATTCTCACTCTGACCTCGTCACATATTGACGTTTTGGTCATGGGCTTTCCACGTTCACATACGACGTGCAAGGTACCCTGGGTGTGTTGGTTGTTGACATTCTGGATTGCCGTGTCAAGTTCTACCTGTTACATGCATTGTCTTCTTTCAAAATACACTTCTGTTTTCACAGGAAATTTAACGTTTACATACACTGTCTTTCAAAATATTCGCACTATGTCGATACAACACTGCAAATGAACTTTTTTCCCCTTCAACAACACACATGCATGGTTGGGTTTAGGCAAACGAAAACACATGTTAGGGTGAGGAAAAAAAAACAGGGTTTGGCTTTAGAATCTTAAAGGACGCGAACACCTTTCTCTGGGGTGAAAGTCGGTGTTTGTTGGACCCATCCACCACTCCTCCCGTTCGCCCCAGTTGGACTTTCGCTGCCTTAACCTTGGTCCTTGTCCCGGCGTGTTTCCCCCTGACGCAGCTGGGCACTGTTAAACTATACGGCAACCAGCCATGTATCATGCCGACGTTAAAGGACACCTTTTTTCGTTGGTTTCTGATGCTGCAAGTCACTGCCCAAGTGCCAGATTTCGACGACTTCAGAGTGAGACCGGGCTCAAAATATTTAATTTAATGAATACTTTCTTATTTTATTTGGTATTTTTGTCATATACAGATTTGTGCTGATGATTTCTGGGTAATGTGAATGTTGATGTTGTCCGATGTCAAGTTGTAGCTAGTTTAGACTCAAATCTTGCACTGGAGGCCATTGTAATAATGTGCAATGGTGCTCGTCCTAACTACCATACGCCACTGACTCAAGTACAAATTTGAGGAACTTGCACTTTATATGAGACCTCTGTTTTATTGCTACTTTATACTTTTACTCCACAACATACTGTGGGGATTATTGTACTTTTTACTTTACTACATTTATCTGAAAGCTTTAGCTACTAGTTACTTTACGAATCAAGATCTATGCATAAAAATTTAATCTAATCTTATTTTTCAAATTTTTCTAATACCCTAAGAACATTTTCCAAGTTATTCCTCCTTTTACTTGAGTAACATATTTGACACAGAACTTTAACTTGTAACAGAGTATTATCACAATGTGGTATTAGTATTTTTACTTAGATAAAAGAACTAAATACTTTCTCTTCCTTTGCCAACAGGCCACCACACGTACCAAGCACCCTCCCACCAGTCTGGCCCTGCAGCACTTTGATGCCACCTACGGCCCCCAACTGGGGCCGCTGTGGCCATCCGTCCGAGTCGCCTTGCTGTCAGAGAGGAAATACGGAGCCCTGATCAATCATTTCTCCGATAATGCAGCTCTGGCGGACCTGGAAGCCCAGGGATGCAGAGACTTCCCCAGTGACACAGATACAGTGGGTAGGTGTGGATTTCCCAAGGCTCACTCTACCTGCTAATGCTATATCAAGCAAATTTAATATTCCTCTTTGTTTCTGCAGCTCAGCCGTGCTTGGAGCAAGAATCTGAGGTTGCAGCCAAGGAGGGATCTGGTGGTGTTTCTTTGAAGAAGTCTGACACTGTTGGTCAGCAGCTTTCTCCTCTGCAGCTCAGTCCGAACATCAAGTGCTTTGTGTTTCCAAGAGGGAATATCACAAGATTCAAGCCTGCTAGGTGAGCTCATCTGTTCGTGGACAAAAATTCAAAATCAAAAATATTTTGATATGTGAACTCTGGGTCTAAATATTTCCTTCAGCTGTTAGTTATCAGAAAACACAGACATTAGCCCTGTTTTAAAATCCTTTTTCAAGCCTGGTAGATTTTAAGTTGATAAGTTGATCATATTTTTTAGTGTTTATATATTAAGTTTAAAAGTGGTTTAGTAAGTCAAAGTGGTCCAACATTTCGAAGACAGTGCTCTCCTTCAAATGAGAAATGTGGCAGTTATTAACTGAAGTGTTTAAAGTTTGATTCCTTGTCCTTGTGTCCCCTAAAGCCCCGACATGTTTGGGTTGTTGAGTTACTACCTGATGGACGCAGCATCTGTGCTGCCTTGTCTTGCGCTGGATGTGCGAGAAGGTCACAATGTGCTTGACCTCTGCGCTGCTCCGGGAGGCAAAACCCTGGCTTTGCTTCAGAGCCAGTCTGTAGGTAAGAGGACTGCTCTCATCTTTCTGTGACACCATGTAATGTTGTTCTGTCTGTCTGTCTGTCTGTCTGTCAGTCAGATGTACTTAACCCTCCATCGTCTGTGTTAAAGGTTTCTTGTGTGTAAATGACAGCTCAGTGTCTCGGACGTTACGACTGAGAAAAGTGCTGCACGGCTACATTCCTAAGCCGTTTTTGACAGACGGCAAACTGCGCATCACCTCCTTCGATGGCACCAAGTGGGGGGAAATCGAAAGGAACACTTTTGACAGAGTAAGCCAGTGTGGTGTAATTATGTTTCAGTGATTATCCAAATAGCAGCACTTTGTCCACCTCCTGGTTTCCTCTCTGTCTTCAGGTCCTTGTTGACGTCCCGTGCACCACAGATAGACACTCACTGATGGAGGACGACAACAATATATTTAGTAAGAGTAGGACCAGCGAGAGACAAAGGCTGCCGCAGCTGCAGCTGGAGCTGTTGCTGTAAGTTTTAGTGAAAATAAAAATATAGTGTAGTTATTTATGTGGTTACCTTTGTCACATCAATGTACAGCAGAGCTACAAGTGAACATGATTATTCTTGATGAAGTGAACACACCCTCTCTTCATCTTCATCGTGCAGGGCGGGAATCAAAGCAGCTTGTCCAGGTGGGGAGATCCTCTACTCCACATGCACACTGTCTCAAATCCAGAACCTGGGTGTGGTGGAGCAGGCTGTCCACTTGGCTCGGGAGAACCACGGCATAAACCTTCAGGTCAGACACACACACACACACACACGCACACACACACACATACACACACACACTGTCAGTGTCAACGATATATCAGAGATTATACCATGGTTTGAGTGAATGCTTGATTCTGATAGGCTGCATGGTGTCCATTAAAACCTAATGACGGACACCTACTAAATAGTTTTGGTGCAGCTGTCTGTTTACTGTTCTAAATGAATGTGCTGACTACATAATTGTATCAGCCGGTATCTATTATGAGTAACCATAGCAATAGGGATGCAGCCAAGGCCTTTTTTTATAATTCATATCCAGCACTGAGTGTAGTCCTTCAGTGCCTCGTCCTCTGAGCACCACAGGATGGAGACTGTAACACACAAACTGGCCCTCTGAACTGTGTATCACATCAGTGATCATCTCATAACTATTCAACTTCAGGCTGTGGCCGACAGAAACACTATGATGATGATGCACATATTTCATTTATAAAACTTTATTTTATAACTTTACATACTAGTTTTATACATTGCAATGTTGCATAAGGAACATATTTTTAACACGAAGTACATACTCGGCATATTACACATATTTTATTTTTAAATATTTCACATACAGGTGTGAAAATTGAAGCATGATGCACATGGTTTTATCTTTTTATTTCTACATACTTCTTATTTCTTCTTTCTTTAATTCTGAATTCTGATTCTGTACACAGTGTTACTGACTGTGTATCTTGCTAACGTTAGCTTTCTGGCTCACAGCTGAACCCAAGGGTTCTATGAGCTGAGCAGATTAGACATGTCTCCCATTGCCAAGTCATATCGAAGGTTAGTCCTGTTTACTAGAGAAGTGAATAACATTTTCATTTCATTTATTTGACTCATGACCATATCACACGGTATGGAGAGCAGGCATTACATACAATAACAAAACAATGGCACGCTGTGTGGCTAAAGTACAACCAGTGTTACTTAAACAGAGGAAGGACATTCTTAAAAAAAAGCACCTAGTTCACAAATTACTTTTGGCTTATCTGATCGTAATGACAAATTAATAAAAACACAGATGGACGATCTAAATAATACTTTGGCAAATACTTTTCTCTGTAAGAGAACCCCTGAGGTGTTACCAGTGAACCTGAGTTATTACTTGTGAAACGATTTTGATTGTAAAATGCATGAAAAGATAAATGAATATATATGTATTTTTTTCCTTTGGCAAGTGACCATGGTGTAAGTGAGGTAATGCCCTCTGAGATGTCCATAATCAGGATGCAGCCGTACTTTGCCCCATTCCCCATAATGGACACCTCAAAGGGCCCCATTATCCCTTACTTCAACGATATGACTCACCAGTAGTGGAAGATAAACTGTCATCAGCTTTCTGACCTCTGGAATATCAGGTCTTTCTTAATATAAATATATGAAACCAAATTACAACACATAATTTCACCTTTTTATTCTCCCTTTCCCTCCCTTGTGCTGGTGATATATACATTCAGGTTGTTGATCTGCGACCCCTCACACACATGTTTAGGAAAACCTTTCACTTCGCCCCCGACCTTCACCTGGGTGAGATGGTCGTCCCGCACTTAGCCGCTAACTTTGGCCCCATCTACATGTGCAAGCTGAGGAGGCTCACATAGACTGTGTGGACTGATGGACAACTTTGCCTGAAAGCTTTTGGACATTTGAATGACTCTTTTTTTTTTTTACTGCTTTATGGACTAATGAGATGATCCTCGTTTCTATATATAAACTGTAAGTGTTGGAGCACAGTTGAAGGAGATGTTTTCATCGCGGTGAAGGACTGTTGAAACACTGGACGACAGAATGTGACAGAAAACGCAAAGAATCCTGTTGAAGGACCTGGACCGTGACATTACTGTGGACAGCACTGAAGTACTTTTTTTTTTTTTAAAGCAGACTTTTGGACTCAACCAACAATGATGGCCTGTTCAGTATAGAGTATTCAATATTTTTCAGCCTGTGTCTGTGTGAGTAATGTAGACCACAATATTTTTGAAACTGATTATAGTGTTGAGCGAAACAGGTTGCAGTGTTATATTGATGGATAATTGTGCATCGTCAATTTACGTCCAATAAAAGTGCTTGTTTTTGAAACTGACAGGCTCAGGCTGTTGTGTTTTTGTGTCACAGTGACTAATGGAGCTTGGTCCAGTATGAAGCAAGATCACTGAAGTTAACAGGCAGCAATATAAACACTCGGGACATTGGTGCAACATCAATTTACATCCACTTTAAGTGTTTGTTTTTGCCACTGACAGGCTCACACTGTTATTGTAAGTGTCTGACAACATTATAGAAAGGATCCCTACAGAGATAGACCTTTTGTTAAAGAGTAAGATCCTTTTTGTTTAACCAGAAACAGCCCTGAAATCACCATAGCAAAACCCACCAAACTCCATTTAAATAAAGAGTAATTTTAGCATGTATAGAGCCAGCATGTTTTCACATCTAACTGGGTGAATTTTCAACCAAAACAGAGTTGGTAAATGTTGGACCAGTGTAAAGATGAACCAAGACAGTTTTTGTGAGTTTTATTTTGTTTCTGTCGGCTTAAAATGAACTGTGTGTTACAATGATAAAATTACTGTTTATTTAAATGAGTCTGGTGGGTTTGGCAAAAGTAATTTGGGGCTTTAACAAAAAGGTCTATCTCTGTAGGGGTCTTTTCCATAATGTTGTCAGACACTTAAGAAAACAACCTGAGCCTGTCAGTGGCAAAAACAAGTACTTTAATGGATGGACATTGATGGTGATCAAATGCCCCAAGTGGTTACACTGCAGCCTGTTTTGCATCTGCTGGCTGCAGCGCTCTGACTCAATACTGCACCATTTTCAAAAACTGTCGTTCCCATTACTCACTTAGACACAAAAACATCAGAAAATAGGGTCCAGGTTGAAAAATACCAGAGTTACCCTTTAAGTTTGTCTTGTATAAAATATTCTCCTGTGACTGTCATTGTAAAACACACTTCATTCAGAGTTGAAAGACACAAAATAAAACTCACAAAAGCCATCTTGGTTTGTCTTTCCAGTGTTCCAGCAATCACCAGCTCTAGTTTGTTTGAAATAAACCCTTAATACACCCAGTTAGATGTGAACATAAGCTGGCTCTATACACGCTACAATGACTGTTAATGAATTTAAATTGAACCCTGGTGGGTTTGATAATGAGGAATTTGGAGCTGTTTCCAGTTAAACAAAAAGGTCTATCTCTGTAGGGATCCTTTCCATAATGTTGTCAGACACTTTGAATAACAATCCGAGCCTGACAGTAGCAAAAACAAGCACTTACGGTGGATGTAAATTCACGTTGCACCAATTCCCAAAGTGTTTCCATTGCGGCCTGTTTACTGCAATGATCTTGCTTCATACTGGACCAAGCTCCATTAGACACTGTGACACAGACACATGGAAAAGTAGGGTCCAAGTTTAAAAGTTACCTTTTTTTAAACCCTGATTTTAAAACATATTTGGACTAAACCAGCTTTGCAAAGTATCTCTTTAACTGTAGTTGTATTTCCCTCCTGTAGGAGGCAACAGTAGCTAAAGATTCACAGCATCCTGTACAGTGCACTCTGCTCCCACTAGAGGACACTGAGGATGTGTCTGTAGAGGTTATATGTTGACAGGAGCTCCAGTACGGAGGTCCTCAGAGATCACATTACTGAAACACACATTTCCATCAGAATTACCTGCTCTCTTTAACTCTCCACTGGAAATGGGTTTGGCTTGTTCTATGGTTATTCATCAGGTTTGATGGCTTTGCCTAATAACGCGATATGTGCGGAAGGCGGCCGTAATGAACAGGCAGGTAATGACTTATTTGACCATTTGGCTTCTCACATCTGAATCTGTGCAACTTTCATTATAATAGCTGGATTGACTCCGTTTTGCATTGACATCACTCAGAGGTGAAATGTTTCCTCTTATCACTGCCTAATGTGAGCGCAGAGGTGCCTCTTTTTACCATCACACCGCCGATGACCCTTTATGTTGTCCTGGCCAGGCAATGTAGCGTGAAAAAGGTGTGTGTGTGTCTAACGAGTCCACCATCCATACCCACTGTCATTAAGCTGCTCCAAGTGCAGGAGCCGACTCCCATCCCCGTGCAGGGATGGACGGCAGCCATGCGGCTCCCAGATGAACATTAAAGAGGCAGCAGAGAGCTAAAATGGGACGTCTCGCCCTGTTTTGCCCCTCCGCTTTTTTATTCCACAGATGAGTGCAGATAATTTCCTGTGCGATTGTGAGTGATTACTGTATTACTGCGGTAAAAGGGGGATGTATCTGGGAATGCAGAGGGAATTAATGACACATAAAAACTATTTTTGTATTGACTGCTTTCGTCTCCAGGGCCTTGAATGCCTCCTCGCACATCTTGTGATTACCTAAACGTATTGTAAATATGTGTTTCCTATGGGCTCTTACATAAATTTACATGTTTTAACACTCAGGAGACGGCAGACTGTTAGAGATGAGTTACTCTCCATTCTGCCTGTCTATAGACTCCACCGGCTGTCTGCTTTATTATTGAATTAGCCAATGAACCGCTGTGCATTTGTGTCCCTGTGTGTAAGCCTGTGTTAGGGAGACATATGCTGTGTATTAGAAAGATGAATATTATGGATTTAACTACACAACCGTGCTTCTCTTGCGCCTTCAAATACAATTTAAATGTTGCTTTTTTTGCTAATAAACATGCAAAACACTGTAATAGTGTTATGTTCTCACCTCACACCTCACAAGTTGCTGAGTGAATGATTATGTGTCATTAGTAACAACCTCCATATATATTCAAACTGAGCAAAATGACAGCTACTGAAACTTGCATGTCTTCAGAGAAACAGGTGTTACAGATCTTTATTGTCTAAATGTGTTGAGTGGAGATGAACATTAAGGTGTCTTTATGCTTTGTAAAAACACACAGTGACTCAGGTGAGGTGTGTGTGTATTTAAAGCAGATGCTGCTGTCCTGCTGTGGTGTTTTCCAGCCCAGAGGTGAACATCAGACGTGTGTCCCAGTTGGCGGTGGGAGAGGGGATTTCACCGGTGGGGGTCTTTGTGGCAGATGCACTGTGTAGACTGAGCCCAGCAGGATGCTGCTGCTCTCAGCCACAGGGTGCTACATACTGTAGAGTTTTTTTCCTTGGTACATTTATTTATTCATTTATTTTATAGCTGTATCTTTGCCTTTTATTTCTGAATTTCTATTTACCTTTACATGCATCCAGTCGTCTATTGACATTGAGTGAAAGGATGATATGTATGACATGTTTCACTGGTACTTGTATCACAGTACAACAACAGACTGAGGAGCTGCAGGTGACATGCATATGATGACTTCTCTCTTTTCCCTTCAATTTGGTTTTCTTCTTCTTTTTTAATTTGCAAGTGCATACTATTGCATAAAATCCAGATAGTTAAAAAAAAAAGCGTCAGTAGAGGTAAGGAAGCCACTGGCTTAAACAACAGACCCCTCAATTTAAGAAGAAAAACATAGAAGAAGAAAAAGAAGAAAGGAAGAGAAAAAAGTTTTTACATAATTCATAGTTCAGTTTTCCAGGAATTTGCACAGCAACAATAGATCTGCTACCATGAGAGTGAAGCTCACAAATAGATTTGCAGACTTACTGGATCTCATACTGTACTCTAGGACCATTTACATTCTGTTATGATTGCATTTAGTGCTTCTAATAAATACCTTTGTTCACAGTATGGTTGAGCTATACAATAATCAACTATTGTTTCCTGTTTGTAAACAGGCTCACTAGCGAAAGTAAAAACCAACCCCAGATTCACTCTCCTGTGTGTTTCGTCTCGCTACATTTGCATTTTTTTCAGTGCTGTGTCTCTTGGATGCCTGCTGCTTACAGTCCGGCACCTGGTCGCTACTTTTTTATCAAGTCCAGAACTCACCTGAGGCTGAGCACGATGAGGGTACACGCCCATAAACGTCCTGAACACAGAAAACAAGAAAATGCAGAGAGGTTGCAGAGACTGCAGATAAATCCGCTACCACACACACTTAAGTAGGTCATGACATAAGTGATGAATGAGAGGGATTAATTCTGTTTGAGTCTATAGATTGTTTTTTAGGAAAATCCTGCATTGTCTATCTTTAAGCAACTGCGGACAAAGTTGCACATCAATCTTTGGGCACTATTTTTGGCAGTATTGTATTTTATATGATTTTCTAGAAAATAATGATGCACCTTGATTTGTCAAATGTTTAATTTGTCTATCTAAACATTTTTTTTCATGAGCAGTTTTTCAGTGAATTTTCCAATAGGATCATTGTATCACAATAGATATTGATATTGAGATATATATTAGGTATTACAAGAGATGAAACATTTACTGATTCCATGATAAACCAAGGTAAATTCCTTATTTTTTATTTTCTTTCTTTATTTAATTTTATTATTCATTTCTAAGGGATGGTGCATATTGCAAAAAAATTATCACCTGTTTCCCAGACGCAGGCACAGCATGCAATGTGGGTTCGTTTTGCTCTTCCCTTGTTTCTAGAGTGGGTGTGCAGCAGGCAAAACCAGTAAGCTGCTGGTCTCCTGTCCTCCGCTAGAGTGACACAGACACTCAAGCACACATTTTAAAGACAGGCTGTCTTTCATGATAATTAATGCACATTTGATATGGTTTTTCATAAGCTTACATAAGGCATTTTTATTATATATGCAAACAAATATGCTGCTAATTTTATTTGTGGTTTGTAATATAAAACTTGGTGAAATGATTTTAGTGTGTTTTGGTACTTTTTGGACATTTTCAGCACATTTTAACAGCACTGATAACCTGTGATCATGCTGATAACCATGATAAATTTGGTCATGATATGAGATTTCTATACCGTGTCATCCCGACCTTTGACCTTCCTAATGTGTGTTTTTCAATGCCTCTGTTCCGGCAACAGCTGTGGCCAGAGGTGTTATGCTTTTGGGTTGTCCATCCCTTGCATTCTCATGAACGTGATATCTTAGAAACAACTTGAGGCAATTTATTTAAATTTGGCACAAACATGCTCATCAATCAGGTGATTAGATTTTGGTAGTCAAAGGTCACTGCGACCTCAAGTCTGCC